TTCTTAATTTGTAAATAATAGTACGAAAGAATCTATCAAGCAACTACAATTATTATAGATTGTACTATTTCTCTGCTCGACTGAATATAGACAAATGTATTAAGAAGATGTTGTCCTTCTCAAGTATTCCGCTGCATAATAACATTTTTTGTTATTGCTTATTACGTATTGCTGGATATAAAAGAGAAAAGAACAAAGATAAAACATTTTGTTTTTCTTCCTTATGCTAGATTCTTTTTTCCTGATAAGTCGAAGTTCGCAGAAGCATACTAGCTGTAATTGTATACGCCCAGAAAGAAGGAGAAAAAAATCCATCATATCCTTCATGACGTATACTATTATACACAACATAGGCAACATCGTCAAGCGTAAGATTCACATCCTACACAAATACTCAGTATGTCGACAGCTACAAAAAAAATATCACGATTAGAAAGAGAAGCTATTTTACGTGCCAAAGTATGAATTTCATTTACATTTTCTTCACTATACATATTTTTATTTATTTTCTTAATAATGAGAGGATTCGGAATATAAACGTGAACAAGCATCAAGTTTATTAACGGATTCATGTCAGGATGAAGAAGTATTTGAAAATGATCGTCATCGACGTTTTGAAAAGATGAGACAAACACGTCAAATACAACGTGAAATTGATCATCAAGTAGGAATGATAGACAAATTAAACGAACGAAAACAACAAGAAATACAAAAAAAACAAAAACCAACGACAACAACAACAACACGTAAATTTCTTTGTTAAACTAGAATACAAATGTTTAATATTGTATTGTAGCACGAAGTTATCTTACATCTTTATCATCATCATTATCATCATCATCATCAACAACGTCATCATCAGTGACCGATCGAGCTAATCGTGGCGGAACAGCTACAGAAAAATATACAACTACCAAGCATACCAGTGATGGCAAAGTCTATTAAAACCAATCATTGATATCAACGTCAAGAAAAACTTATAAAACTTGATTTCTTTGCTTATTCATATTTATTCCCTAATCATTAAATGCATATTGATTTCTCATAGATTTTGAAAAAAAAAATCTTATTCAATCATACGTATTTAATATTGTTATTTCATAGAAAGAGAAATGAAATTTTCAATTAGAAAAATTCATTTCAACTCAACTTTACTATTATTTATCTTAGATATTAAATATTATTGATTTATAATTATTTACCTTTATTTAGTCATGAATCATATACTTTATTATGAAAAGAAAAGCTTTTTATGAGGCATCCATTATAAGATATATTTGAAAACATCCCAAAGGAAAATTACTTAAGATTTTGTTCTGAAAACACATAGCTATTAATGGTCTCTAACATATAATGGATGTCTAATAAGCCTTGATTCCTTTCAAGTAATATTCTTTTCTTATTTGTTTTTTCAGTAGAATAGGCTACAGATGAAAAAATTATTGTTACTCAATGAATCGTTCATAAAGAGTAACTTTTAGTTTTCTGCATATCACTCCTGAGTAGTATTATTTTTCAGTTTTTAGAAATACTAACTTAGTACCAATTTTTCAAGATGATCAGGATAGCAAACATCGAACAACAATTGTGATGAATACTATTGAATTGTTATTTAACAAGCATATTGATCATGAAGTTGGTTATGCAAAATTTGCTGATATTTGACTATATAAGACAGTTTGAGGTGCAATTAAAGAGAAATTGATAGGAGAAATATTTGAAAATGAATCAGAATTGGAAAATTCTTACCGCGACAAGATGCACACAAATGATGAAAGAATTACTGAGTCAATTGAAACAAGTTTGAGTAATTAATTTGAAGTTATTTAAGCTATATTTTATTGTTTTTTGTTCAATCCTGATTGAATAATGATATCAAAGCTTATGTAATGATTTAATGGCAAACTATTTTTCACAATTAGGCAGCGTTCTTTAAGAAGAGAACTTTTTATTGTATCACTCGACAAAATAGAAAAAATTGCTAAATTATCAATCATTTTTAATCTATAAACACTTTAATTTGACATATGTAAATCATACGAACGTTCAAAAAACAATTTCTTTAATATGTTTAGAATCGCACTTTTTTTTATGCACAAAAATATTTGAGATTTTTTCCATGTGACTAGATACCGTTTTTATGTTAGAGTTTATATTGTCAATTCTGATTTTGTGCCATGAACGAGTGCTCTCTTCTATATACGTGATGATTTCAAAAGTTAAAAAGAAGATGAAACGAAGGTATCGATTTAATCCTATTAGTTGCAGAATAAAAGAAATAAATCTAGTATTTTAATGATCAAAGTCATCAGTATATTACTCAAATTGCAGTTAATGTCATTGTAGATGACATGTTTATCTATTAATAAAGATAATATGCAGTTCTTTCATCTAGTTTCATTTAAATCAAAATGACTGAATATGTTCTTTGTAAAAAACAAAAAGAATTAATTTAAGAAGAACAAAATATTCATGTTTTTCCTTTCATTTTCATTTACTGCACAAGAAGTCATCTTGTTCGCAAAGAATATGTCAAGCTAATCTAAATTCCTCTACATTCCATTAAAGATTAGTAGGACTTTGGAAAATGACGATGAGAGTAAGGACTACCAACGAACATCAAGTCTAACTAATATAAAACTTTATAGAAGCATATATTGTTGAAATATGTTTGTAAGTAATTAGATAGTTTAATGGAAAATTATTCTTATTTTTAGTGAATAATTATACCATTAAAGTTCATACGAGTTCAAACTATTCTTCTAATTAGATTAGGATTTCAGAATTTTAAATTCTGTTTTCTTCTATTTGTGTGTATGTATCAGTACTTTTATTTTTATTCACTCTTATGACTACAAGAACTAGATTCTAAGTCTCGGTTTCTAATATCTCTTATGTTTTAGAATTCATTAGAGAAAATTAAGTTCGATAAGCAGTCGACTTGATCGATAAGAATCCACAGTAAAGTAATCCATTAGTGGTAAAGCATGAATATTATTGACTTGATCATTGATAACATAGAAACAGTCTCCAGACAGAGTATCGAAATTCTAGAATCTGACTTAAGAGTTAGACTAAGAGATTCTTTTGTCAGCCTAAACTTTTCTTCTATTTCTATATTATATATCAATACAAATTAATAAATTCGTGTTAAAATAGAGAAAATATATATTTATTTTATCGTTTAATCTATATTAGATCAATGTATGAAATACTTGAAATTGTAGCTTACAGTTGAACATGAACATGGAATTTACTATGAATAAAACAAAGTTATGATATGATAATACAAACATTTATTGATATTGTTCACATGTTCTAAAATAGTTTTTATTACAACTAGTAATTATCTTTCGGGCTTTTTTAGTTAATGAGAATTTACTTTTGAATTGCCAGTTTGGACAGATGCATTCTAAATATAAAAAATAAATAAAAAGATAATTGTGTATTTAATGAATACTTTCAATTAATCCATTTAGATAGAAGATTATTGAATTGAACATAGACTCATCAAAATAGTTCTAGAAAAAAAAAAAAGAATTGATACTTTTCCATAAAGTTTCAAAGATTTACACAAAATTACAAAAGAAATTGCCATTTAAAATATCTGGATTATTATAATTGATTTAGGAATAATCGGTATATTCCATTAATATGATTAATCGAAATAGAAGTTGAATGCAAAGATTGTTTATAAGATCGTTTCTTTCGATAGTATCTTCTACTAAGTTTCTTGAAACGCAGTTATTATCAGTCCTCATAAGTTTACGTACGAGTAGCCCGAGATCGTCAGAATCGAGGAAGAAGTCAAACGCATTTTGGAGAAGGTTGAGCGTTTTTTTGGGTGGAAAGGGAGAATTCGTGAGCAAAAAATTAATAAAATAATGAGATTTCGCTGAAGAAAAACGACAACTTCTCAAGGTTGAATGAAGGTTATCCTCGCCTCCCTCCACCGCTCCGGAAGTCTGAGTTCAAATATACTGTCTAATTGTTTTCCTGTGAAAAATTCTTTTGACCGAATCAATTTGATAATATCATTCTCTTCGTATAAATTGCTTTTGAATAATTAGATTTTATAATTCTCTTTATTTAATATTGTAGAAAAAGTATAATCAAGTAAAACATTCTCTTTTTTTTTCAATACATCAAAGCATATTGACATGGTCTTTCAAATAAAAAAAAATTAATAAATACAATGAAGGTCCACAGAGAATATTTGGTTGTGGAATGAACTCTTTTTGATTCTTGTTTGTTGAATATCTCTCACAAACACCATGATAAGTAGGACTAAAAATCTTAGTATAGTCTCTCTACTACAGCTCCAACATATCATGAAAATTTTACTTAGTTTGAATCTACTTTGCTCAAGATCGATTTTCGAGATTGGAAAGAATCTTAACGATAATGAATTTTCGTCATTATTATATCGAAATATATCTCTATGTTTTCTACTATATTTAATCTTCAATTTCTATTTTTTTTTATTTACCTGTATCTTTTGACATGGATAAAATTGTTAATAAAATTGAAGTTTTATTAAACGAAGACGTATATAACACTGAGAGTAAGTTAGATTTGAGTAAAAAAGGATGATCAATAGTGATCATTTTTTATCATTAGGTCATCAAATATTGCAGACAAATCACTAATTGGATCGTCAGTTCATATCTATAAATGGTACTCAATATTCTCATCAAATTATATGTGTTCTGTCATTGTGTACCTGTTTGTTGATTTTGCTTTTATTCATGAATGCCGTTTATTCTTTGTTAACTGTCAATCGTCACCATTGTTCTCTTCATAGTCAAAGAACATGTAATCCACTTTCAAACAATTCATATTTCATGCTCTGTTGATGTTCACGTATTAGTTCAATTTCATTTATTGATAAACTATACTCTGTTCTTTTTTGTAAAGATACGGACTGATTTGTTATGACCTTAGAAAAAGTATAATTTTAAAATGAAATAATATTTTTCGAACTATAAACTATAACAGTATCAAAATGATTTTTATTGAAAGAATATAATTGGATCCATTTTTTTTCGTGTTCTCTTCTTCCATTATGTTCTTGTAACGTGACAATAAAAGAGAAAGTATTTAAAAAAAAATGTATTATATAAACATTCTTTTCTCCTGCAATGACTCAAAAATCAGAAGAACAATTGAACATATTCAAGTGAAATTAACATTTGTCGTGTTTAGTAAAATAGTATGGGATCAAACTGTTGTAAGAACGTTCGTGTAAGTGGTGTTTCTCAGCCAGAACCAGCCAACGTAAACAATTTAGAAGAGCAGCATAAAAAATCCATACTTTCTGTTACACCACCAATACCAATAGAATTTGATGCTGATAAAAATCATACACAATCGAATTCTACACATCCCGCACAACATCCGAACTCTGTCGATGCTGACAATAATGATAAAATTCCTACTTCTTTACGCGTTCGAGAAGCTTCGAATGAAAATAATCTAGTAAACAATCATAAATTCATTACTTCCTCTCAATTTCCACCGATTCGACGAAAAAAATATAATTCAAAAAATGAACAACAACAATCCACTCATCCTGTACCATTAGTATTAAAAAAGCCTGTTATTGAAGAAACCCATGACCGGATAACAAGTGGTCGTTTACCACCATTGCAAAAACCTATGAATGTTAAGAATGATGCCACTCTTGTAGAATCTGTATCAGGTGAAAGCTATTCAGAGAGTGATGATAAAGTTGCTGATCATTGGCGTCTAATGGTAGTACCCGACAGAGCTGATTTCTATGAAGAAGATAGATTTTTCACATCAACTCCAATCCCACCAAGTCCAGAGCAATCAAATTCCGAAAAGGAACACGCTGAAACTTTGAATCCTTTGTTACGACCAGTGTCAAATAATATTGGTTCTGATGACGAACATATATCTGCTCCATTAAATCTAGCACAGATTCTACGACTTCAAGCAGCACTCAATTGGGACGAACATTGTAAACCTGTACCAATTCCAGAGTTAAAAATTTCGCCACAACATCTATATTCTATTACCGATAAAATAAACGTGCCGTCGACTATAATTCGAAACATTGACGATGATAATATTTCTGATAGCTCATTTGATGAATCTACTATTTATTTATCTAATACATCAGTCGTTTCTAATGATAAGAAAAATACTGCTGATGAACTTGACATTATTCATCCAGAAGCATTCGATGAACCTTTTAATGTACAACGTCAACATGTGATCGACAACAGTAGTTATCGTTTAATTGTTGAAGCTTGGCGTCCTAATTCGATTGAACAGCTTGTCGATCATATCAAAAACTTTTCAAAAAATAAACCGACTATCGATCGGCTTTGGATTGTATTCTATTGGATTGCACGAAATATTGAATATGATACTGTACCATATGTTGGGAAAAAACATGTTGACAAATCAGCAGAAGCAGTTTTCCGAACAGGAAAGGCTATAGCCGATGGATATGCCAATTTATTTAAACATTTATGTGATTCATTGGATTTAACGTGCGAGAAAGTAAATGGCTATTCGAAAGCATACATCTTTGATCCTTGCAATAAATCATCTGTACCGATCGATCATACATGGAATGCCGTTCAAATAAATCAACACTGGTTTCTTATTGATTTAACGTGCAGTGCTGGTTATCTTGATAATAATCAAGTATTCAAACGTGAATTAAATTCGTACTATTTTCTTGCGCGACCGAATGAGATGATTTATCATCATTTTCCTACCAATGAACGATGGCAACTATTAAAAAAACCTGTCAAAATGATGCAATATATGCAGATGCCTAAACTTTGGCCAAAATTTTTTCAATTAAATCTTAAATTGATCATTCCTAGTAACATAATACACGTTGATCTAGTTCCACGCCAATCTTATGCATTAGTGGTGATACAAGCTTCGCGTAATATTAGTCTTACTGCAAGTTTCATGCTGAACGAAAAAGAAATTGATGGTGGACATCGAATCATATACGATAGACAAAAACGGCTCTATCGTTGCTATTTCGCTCCAGCTTCGATAGGTGTCCATATAATACGCTTCTTGGCAAAAGACGATAATATTGATAATGGTTCATATAATAATGTGGCTGAGTTCGAATTTGATGTAAGACAAATGCCATCAAAACCAATTAGTTTTCCAAAAACTTGGAAGTCTTTCTCCGAATTAAATCTTGAAATTGCTTGGCCGTGCAATACACATATAATCAAAATGGATCATGGCGACAATCATACTGAAATTCTTATTCGAGCACCAAGTGATGTTGAACTTGCCAGTCGACTAATTGTAGATAATAGTATAAAAATTCCTGGAGGACATTGTACGTTTTTAGATCGACGAAAAGATGTCTGGCGATGTATGTTTGCACCTCATTGTGATGGTTTATTCGAAGCTTATATTTTAGCTAAAAGACGATTAGATCCTGGCAGCTTCGCAGTTGCTGTACGATTCAAGATTAAAGCACGACGAATTCCGATACCACCACTTTCATATCCAAAGACATGGCAACTTTTTCACGATCTCGATCTTCAGGTAGAAACACCACGCAATAGTGCTATAGTTATGTGGCCTGAATATGGTTCCTATGCTCAAGTATGCATAAAAACACCGGACGATGTTCGATTGATGTGCTGTATAGAACAAAATGGTATTCGAATAGAAAATGGAGCATTAACACAGTTTAATAGTGAAAAACAACATTGGCAATTATTCTTTGCACCAGAACATATTGGTAAGCATAAATTATTGGTTTTTGCACATTGCAGTACTCCTGACGGAGTAATATCAGGAATGGCTGTTGAGTTTTATCTCGATGTAACACAACTTCGACATTCAATTAAATTTCCAGTTATATATACAGCATTTCTCACTAAAAAATGTCGCATATACGAACCCTTGAATGGAATTTTAAAAAGAGGTGCCGTCGTTTCCCTTCATTGTGAAATACCTAATGCAAGACAAGTCGATTTGACTATTGATTCAAAATGGATAAAAACAGAAGGTTATCGAAATTCAATTTTAAAAAGACAAATTATTGTTGGCACAAGAGAAGTGATTATATATGCTAAATATGATGAGAATACCGTTTACAATGAACTTATAAAGTATACTGTTCAATGATTAACTATATTTCAATAAAATAAAAGTAATGTAACTAGAAGTTCACCAAAGATATTGTTGTTCCATCCAAAATATTGTATCTTAAAAGAAATGATGAGTTTTAGTTAAATCAGTCACAATAATCAACTTCAAATACTCGATATTTAGTTACCATCCTTGTGGAAGAATTATTTATCATTGTAATCACGTAATATTCAACTATATAAAAGGAAGAATTCAAAGCAATTTCATTGCATATTTATCGATTTCTTTGCATCTATATCAAAGTAGTATTTGAATAGAATTTTCGTAGTTTTTTTTTTTTAATTTTTATGATATATCAAAAACTCTTTTGATAATTCTTTATAAGAACTAAGCAATTTTGCATATAAATTTCCATATAAATAATATAGGCCGTTATTCAAAGTTGTTTATTTTTTTTATATTTGATCTCAATAGAATTATATGATCTACAAGATCATTTATTGTAGAATGTCTGCAAAAAAATGTTTATATACAGATTCTAAATCTACTAAATGATTTGTATTTATTTTATTGACAGTTCTTTGGTGGGTGGCTAGGAAACAATAGTATGTGTATCTACTTGTCCATCTTTTTTTTCTCATTTAAAATTTGACTTTTGTAGTTTAATAGCAACAGTAGTTTTCTCAATACTAATTAGAAATAATAATAGCTGTTACTAATGATAAAGTTTCCTTATTCAATATCAAATAACTGATAATATTTCTGGAGAATATCAAACCATACACAAGAACAGAAAATATGCACAGCCATTGTAATAATTTATAGTAATATGTCTTCTCAACATGATAAAGAATAATATACCATCAATTAGTGGACATGAAAGAAAGTAGATCAGTCAACTAGCTTCTGCCCATAATCAGACATAGTTTTACAGTCTACTCGTATCATTATTACATTAAATAAGTTATGCACATTCACTATATCTACCCGTATAACTTCTATCATCTTTTTTTTAAATTGCCAAGGCTTTTTGTCAGTTCCTAATTCTTTAGAAAGAAAATGAAAACTGTCTATTATAACTCAAAAAAAATATTGTTTTACACCATTTTTAAGAATGCAACCATATTTTGCCAAATAAAGATTTCCATCTATGCTCAAATTGCTTCAAAATTGAATGTTTGTTATTGATTGTCAATATTGCTTCTAGAAATTATCGCTAATGATTTGCTTAAAAGATTCTTTTTTTTTTAGTAGAGTTTCTGTGTATTGCCTGTTAATTTAGCCTGTTTTTTTTTATAAATCTAGCCAATAAACAAGAAGCATCTAGACTCATAGAAGAAAATTATTTTAGAAATTTTCAAAGTGATCTTGCACGATTAATATATGAAATTTATTTTAAAAATATGTTGTAATGACAACTGTGTTATCATCAATGAAAAAGATTGTAATTCTAAAAAAGACAATCGGACTAAACAGAATCTCACATACATCAAAAACTAAATGCAAACAAAAAATTAGAGTCCGTATCCATGCTGTTGAACTTATTGAAATTCTTTTACGTTTTCTCGCAACCATTCTTCCAGTGTACGCAATGGCCTATTAATGAGAATGGATAATTGTGGTGTAACATGTCCAGATACTGGTTCAATAGGAAACGAAACGATATCGTAAGCAAGTGAATGAGGCATGCCGAAACCAATGAACATCTTGTAAAGCGTTTCTACTGGTTGTTGTTCGTATGTAATGGATCTACCAAGAACTTTGCTAAAAATCGCTGCTCGTTGTTCCTGAGTCAGAAATTCACCGCCCATTTCGTAAACACACCGATCATGTTTTTCGACGGGTTCCGTTAGAACAACGACAGAACAATCGGAAATATCTATAAATAAATATAAAGATTTATCACACTTGTCGACTTTTTTTGCATCAAGCATCGGACAAATACTAAAAATGATTTGTTACCTTTAAGAGTAGTACCAACTAATTTGGCTAGACAATTTTTTTTTTGAAACTGTATATTTTGTGAGAGTATTGTTACATTTCAATGTTACTCAATGTATTCTCTTTATTGAAAACAAAATTCTTCTTTTCTGACTGGAACAAGGGAGAGCTATCATTTGATAATATTGTGTCTTTATTATTTACCTTTCGTATCAATCCACGCAAATGTCGATGAAGGAGGTCCACATGAAACGAGCTTATTTAAATGTTTGACTGAATTTACATCACTCATAAGTTGATTGCTCATAAATACACCTGGACGTAATACGACCAATGAACGTTCATCCGGTCGTTCATCGGCAAGTTTCCATAATTTCTCTTCACTTGTTGTATGCATATATCCAATAATACCTTGTCTTCCCAACGAACGAACAGTCCATGAAGAAAGATCAACAATTTGACGTACACCTTTTTCATAGGCTATTTTTCCAAACGTTTCTTTAATTTCGCTCATTTCTGTTGGTCTCTTTAAATTGCCAACAGCAAGAAGAAAAAGACGAGTATGTCCTTCGATTGCCTTTTCGTACACTTCAACAGATGAGTAGGTACCAACAACGATTGTCAGACAACCAGTAAGAATTTCATCTTTGAATAAATTCTTTCCTTTAGATTCATCTCGTACATAAGCTGTTGTGTTAATGCCTTTTTTAACAAGACCACGAACAATACCACTTCCAATATCTCCACTAGCGCCAACTACAAATATATGCTCTTTGCTTGTTGACATATTAGATGTGAGAATAAAAGAACAAAGTATTTGTGTTCTATTTTAATAGTGCATTGAGAAAAAGACAAGCAAAGAATGAGATAAAAAACAAAATGAATAATCAGACTATCTCTAAATGCAATGACGATATTAAAACGTTCTCGAGCAATCCCAACGCGAGACCAACAGAACTAGGCCAAATTCAGCGTCAACCAAAATCGAGTCCATAGTCCATAGTTCACCCATTGACACTAATATCAAAAATATTTTCAGTAGATGTCCTTTGTGATAGAATTAATTTCTGTAATATTCAAGATTTTTTTCTCGTCATCTGGATAATTTTCTCGAAATCAAATGACAACAATTTCATGTATTGATATTTCTTCCACTAGTCGAAATTTACATTAGTTGATTTAAAATACCTAGATAATACTTGAGAATTATTTTCTCACGTATCGTCTAATAACTCGAACTAGAAAATTTCAGCTTCGAGATGTAGGGAGTCTATATGTGATTGTTGTACATCATATATACGCCTCTCTTTTTGATGATAACGATAATATTCCTGTGTCTCCTAATTAGAAGGACAGCTGCTACTATAAATAAACTATTCATTAGTGAATTAATGAGTTTTATTGTCTATTCATCAATAAAAAATATTATTTAATGTCATTGCAAGATTAATGAATTTCTAATATAGATTCACAAGATAATTAGCAGTCGATCTCCAAATTTCTTATAATACATTAACCTGAGCATAGGCTTTAAGGGCTTCACTTAAAATCAGTTAGTTTTAGCAGATAATCATTAAGAAAATGAATAAAAATTTTCAACTTCTCTTCTAGTGATTATTTTGTGCATATTATAGAGAATACTGTAGTACTAAAAGTTTGTGAAATAATATTAATTCTTCAATTGATCTTTGTTGGATCTGTAGAAATTCAACTTTTCACGATGCGACTTGTACTAAATTCTTAATTAAATTGATCAAGTCTCTAGGTGAATAACTATTATGAGAATGTATTTATCTCACAAGTTCTTATTCAGTTGTTTAACATGCAGATTTAAATCAAAAGTTGAATGATGCAAACAGAAAAGTACACCAATTCATTTGAGGTTATTGAGAGAAAATGTCATCTCGATTTAAATTTACTCCATAAATTTTGAACTTTTCAAGGATGTATCCAAAGATCTTGCGAAATATTTCTCGATTCGATCAGCTCTTCGATCTGTAAAGCATTATCACATGAATTGAATATCTTGAATTCTGAAACTTTTTATCAATTCAACTCAACAAAAATCATTCAATTCGTCGTTTGAATTTATTTTGGTTGATCATTTTTGAAACAAACTGACCTATTTATTTAAATCGCTGATAAACTTTTGTTTTATCCTTTCCTCACGACAATTTTTCTCACATATTCAGTAAAGGTTAATCAAAGATTAAAATGTAAAAAAAATCTGAACGAATGATAATAATTGGTGAAACAGATTTGTACATTGGTACTAAATATCTGTCTTCCTACGTTTCAATCGAATGGAAGAAAAGAGAAAAACATCGTTTAAAGTGCTATAAAACATGAAAGTTTCTTTTACTTGATTTAGAAGTTTTATATGAAGTCATCCTATTGTCTTTGACTCACATGTTTGATTTACCTCTGCGGGCTTGAACAAAAGGTAACAGATCCCGTTTATATTGGAATTATGAGAGAATCAAATGAAAGGTTCATGCTTTATAATACTCCAAACGCTGCTTTTCTCATTCGTTCAACTTGATTGAAACGTAAGAAACAGCTAGTATTGAGTTACAAAACTATTTCATCAATTGTTATCATTCGTGCTAATCTTCGATTAATTTTTACTGAATATGTGAGAAATATTGTCGTGAGCAAAAGACAAAACACAATTTTTCAATAGTTTAAGCAAAATTGGCAATTTGATTAAAAATGATAAACCAAATTCAGTTGAAAACTTGAATTGAATGAGTTATGTTATGTTGAACGGATAAGAAAATTTTAAAACTCACGGGTTGAATTCATGGGAGAACATTTTTAAGGTCCACAGATTATTTGAATGGAGAAATATTTCGTAACATTTAAGAGTTCATACGAAAATAATTTCAGAATATATAGGGTAGAATTGAATCGAGATGAGGTTTTTCTCAATGAATTCAAATTGATCGGCCGTCTTTTTCGTTTGAATTATTTAGCTTTTGATTTAAATCTGCATGCTAAACAACCGAATGAGAACTTGTGAGACAAACACATTCTCATAGTAGTTATTCATCTAGAGACTTAGACTTGATCAATTTAATTAAGAAATCAGTAGAAACTGTACTACAGCATTCTCTACAATATGCACAAAATAACCACTAGAAGTGAAGTTGAAAATTTTTATTCATTTTCTTAATGATTGTGAATTAAAACTAATTGAGTTTGAGTAAAATTATTAAAGCCTGTTGGTAACTTAATATATCATAACAAGTCCGAACATAGACTGCTAGTTGTCTTCCGAATCTGTAGCAGAAATACGTTAGTCGTGCAATGACATTAAATAATACTTGTAATTGATAAATAGACAATAAAACTCATCGACACACTAATGAATAGTTTATTTATATGGTAGCAGTTGTCTTTCTAATTAGGAGACATAAGAACATCATCGTTATCATCAAAAACGAGAGGTAGATATATGTGTACGGCATATAACAATAACATGTGAACGCTCTGGTTCCCAAAACTTAAATTGGTTAGTTCGAGTTATTAGACGATACTTAAGAATTATTTTCTCAAGTATCATCCAGCTATTTCGATTCAACTAATGTGAATATCAACTGGTGGAAGAAACATCAGCATACCAAATTAATGTCATTTGATTTTGAGAAAGCCATCAATACGATGAGAAAAAGCAAAAAAAATTAAACTAATTCTTGAGTATTACAGTGTCAGTAAGTGAACCATAGACTATAAACTCGATTTTAGTTGACGTTGATGTTACTTCACTTCTGACGGTCACAGCACAATTCATAAACTGAGACGAAATAGAGCTTCTATTCCATTATTATTTTGATCAATAAGAATAGTAAAATAATTAGCCATCATTAAAAAAAACACTTTTAAAATATGATTTAGATCATTCTAAAAGTAATGAGATTCACTAGTGAAGTTCTGCAGAGTAGATTTAATCCAATTTTTACTTTTACATAGTAAAGCATGAGTCGCAGCGTGTATACGAAACAAGGTGATGGAACCAGGGAAATCCCATTGACTCTAGGGGCTTTGCTACCACTCGTGCTTTAGCAAATAACTCAGATGTCGTACCAGTTCTGGAATTTTTCTATAAGGTGAGCTGATCCAGAAGGATCCCGAGCGATTTGCCAAGAATAATAACTCTCGTCCTTGTCGTGCGCTCTGGATAATGCAAGCTGCCTTAGACATCACTAAGAACTTTGATAGTATTGAAGCAATTTGAAGAGCCTAGCTACAGCTTTTCTTAAAAACTTTAAGTAAACGGATTTTGTAAGAATGAAATTTAGAGAATTGAACAGATTTCCCATTCAGCGGCAAAATAACAGATGTGAAAGATTACTCTGGCGAATGCATATTGGTTTCCGCTTCTTTCAAGAAGGTTACTCGTTCGATTTTCCAAAAAGTTTCATTTAAAAACAATTTCTTCGGGTGCGACTAGTTTTGTCGATTGAAAACTTTGTGAATCTGAAAAAAAACTAACGTGTAGGGGTTTCCTTTGCGCAAGATTAAAAGACGGAGACGATCTTTATCACATGTGCTCAGTCTTTTCTTTCTAGAGAGTATCCAAAAAAATCTGATGAAATCTCGAAGCTAAACACAATTTAACAATACTGTACGAAATCCGGTTGAAAAAAAACAATTTTCAGACACATTGAACTGCGGAAAGTTCTATATTCGCCTATGATGCAAAGACCATTTTTATCTTTCCTTCTTGAAGCTTTGTGACGTCACAACAGTTCCATAATATACTTATTTGTTTTTTCTTTGAAGTATTGAAAAATAATGATTTTTCTTTTATAAGGTAAGTAATGCATATTCGGTAGAGCTATTTGCGCTAGACATATCTGTAGTAAAAAGTACTAAATATTCTTCTGCATAAGTGTTTATTGTTGATATATGACATTACCATGTATAATCTTTTGCTGAGTAAAAACAGATATAGTGAAATGTAATATGAAAAATATTTTATAATCCTTATGATTAACTGCAACAATAACTGTCTGTCATTTGTTCAAAATCTATTTCAATGACACATTTCATTAGTAATCCTGTTAAATTACCAGAGAATTCTCATTTATTGAATCTTGTACGTAATATTATGATTTTCATATTAGAGAATTCTTTTTACCCGTACTTTTCAGCATATTTACATTGTTATAGTAGCTTTTATCACTCAGATAGTCCTTGAAATACGTTTGAGATTAGTAGAAGTTTATTTAAAAGCTCATGATATAATAGTAACTGATTGAGATTTCAATATCTTAAAATCGACATTTATTTGATCGGAAAACTGTTTTAAAACTGACAATGCTTACAATAATTTTAGGGCGGACTAGGCTCATCCCAGCTCACTCTTGATGTCGCTACTACTCATATGGTGATTGTGTTTATTTAGGTGCAAGCAATCAATTCAACCAATATCTCGAAAGTTTGATAAATCATTATTGATAAAAAGACGATCATCTTATTTAGAAAGTGAAAACTGTAGTATTAATAACTGAAAGTAGAAATCGGACAATATTCGTACATATCATTTTTCAGATAATACTTCAGACAATATGATATTTTGGTTTATTAATACACATCATCAAACAAAACAGTACAGCTTATACATTCGAAATACAGAGAAACATATGTATTTACGGCAGGTTCTTTATTTCTAGTTTTTAATTTAGTCTCTTTGAAAATGAATTGGCATGCGCCATTCTTCATTGCATGCTGTTTGGTTCTTTGTAGCTTTAATTTAAAGCCAATCAATACTTCACCACTACTATTGACAGTAAAGTAGTTTATATAAGTGTAGCTGTTGAGAAAAATTCTCCCTTGAGTTGTATGGATACTCATATACTGGCAAATCTGCACATTTCATCAAACGAAATAAATACCCTTCATGTGCGTTAAAGAAAACTTTCTGGTTTGATTTATAGCATCCTTTTCATTAAGCAGTAGTCGAATATACATTTTCTATTCATATAACTTGACATTTTACAATATTTGTTTTAAATTATTCTGTGGCTAAATGGAGCCAGACTTCTTCAACATGTTTCAAATAATCGGAACAAATCCTTGAGTACATAATGATTTCATTCATAAATACTAGCACATGTTTCTGTCTTGAAGGACCTTTCTTTTCTTTACAATAGACAAAGAAGTGAAGAAGTCAATTGTTCATCAATTAGTCCTTGTGGTATAACATTAAATTCAAATAATCGGCTGAAGTAACAGTTACCATCATTGGTCTATCCATTTTGTTGGCATGGAATTTCGAAATACCCAGATTATAGATCAGATTTAGCTAAATGCGATAGTTTTGTGAGTTGATCGTAAACATTGTTAATTCTTGATAGCAAGAAATTTTCAAATGATGACTACTTGATTTAAATTGACGATAATTCATACAGAAGCGTATAGTATATGTACTGACCAGCTTTTGACAATGCACGTTAGTAGTCTAAGATAAGAAAATACTGTGGAAAAGATTTTGTTTTTTGTGTGCTCCATCAGGTTTTGTGAAGATGTTATTTATAATGGTGCATGAAAAATAATATTGTAATTTGACGATTTTTCAATGGAAATTTTCATGACGATACTGATTAGCCGCAATACAAATAATACAGATTTTTTATACGTACTAACGAATTTCTTGGATGTTCTTATGTTCTCTAACATTAAAGAAATATCGTCTACCATTAACTTTGTTTGCATATGTATGTATGTGACTATAGTATGTCGAGTGTTTGCGCCATCTAGTATTTTCCTCAAAATTAGCTGAAATATCGAATCATTCGAGCTAAAATTCGAAAAAAAACTAAGATAATGCCGATTCAAGACGTATTTTCAAGTTTTATACAATTAACGCCGTTTTTATTAGCTTGATTTACACGAATAGAATTAAACGAGAAAAAAAATTTAACATTTCAGAAAATATATCCGATTAGTTCTTGTATACAGTACGCTAGCATAAATATGATTACTTCTCCTTTTTTATATACACTTGCATTCTATATTAATGTTACTTCGAATATTCTTCTTCTAAAAAAGACGATTTCGTCCGTAAAAGTTAGTAGCTTTAAAGTCTGACATCTTCTCGAATTTAATCAAGTCTCCGTAACGTTGAGGTCGTCGAAAAGCATCGCCAAAAATAGTCGTCATCCGATATTCTCGGGTACGTGTCATATTGAATGTAATCATCACTATTCCGGACTGATCATTTGTAGTATTTAATAGATGTCCGTCCACATCATATCCACTTGACCATCCATTGTAGAGTGGAGCTGGATAATTTACCATAGCAGTGACGAGAGCATTTTCAAATGCTCGAACTTGTAATTCGGCAAGACGAATAGGATCAAGGAAACAAGCGTTTGGAATAAGGATCAATTCAGCTCCTTGTAACATGAGAATACGCGCAGATTCGGGCTGTTCTCGATCATAACAAATCATAACTCCAACTTGAAGAGAAACATTCATAACCGTAGTTAGAGTAGCTACATAGAATTTGTTTCCAGGATAGGTGAGTGCTTCAAGTGCAGTCCAATCACAAGTGTGTACTTTTGAGTAATGCAAAATTTCTCGACCCAATCGATCAATCAGAGTTAAAGAATTTTTTGGTGGTAATGTTCCATTCGCATGCTTTTCAAGATATGTTACTCCGATAGCCATATTCAATTCAAGTGCTAAAGCTCGAAAATGTGCGATGTACGAAGAAGATCGATCGACGGCTAATTCGAGCCAGTCTCGAACTGGTTGTTCATGTGATGCATTATAACCAGGAAATAGAGATGAATAACCAATATTCCACATTTCAGGCATTAGAGCAATGTCGGCATTCATTTGTGCTGCCTGACGGCAATATCTATCAGCAATAAGGATATTCTCTTCTATATTGTTACCTGGCAACATTTGTAAAAGAGCGATGGTGACATTGTTAGCTGAACTAGCAATAAAATATACATTGAATGCATAAAGTGCTACAATGAGTGACAACATGTTATCTGATACGTTTGTAATTCATTCTACCTAATAAAAACGACCTAAGTCAGTGATAAGAGTGATAACTTAAAGCAAATATTTAGATAACTCAGTTTATTTTATTAAAAAAGCAATATGTTTTGAAAGAATACTTATTTGTTAAGATTCAGAGAACTTTTCCAACACTTTCATAATCATTACAGCTATGCATTGTAAATACCATTGACGTTCGAAACAATCTTTCCTAGATTAAAATTACTGAAATTTATATATTTAATCACCTAAAGAAGATTTTATCTAGCTTTAATTGATTGAAAATTTAAAGAAAAAATCCCATTTTAATCCTATCATTTTTCCATTTTATTGATAAGTAATCGAAACTCACAAATATATATATATAACTACAATAATAAATAAAAAAAAATACAAACAACAGATATATTTTTAAAAACGATATACTGCTAATCCATGTTGATCTTTAGTAACAAATCGCCGTTCTCCTTGTAAAACACAAATATTGTATCCTTCGTGTTGGATTTGTTGTTTGATACGTGCTTGTTTATCAATTAATGTCAATGTTTCTTGTTCTGATGTATTATTCATAACTAACCACCAGTAAGATCGGTAAGGTGTTAATAAACAACTCCAATAATCTGAATAGGCTGCATGTCCTAAAATTTCACCTTGGAATAATCGTTGCATATGAAAATTAAATATATCAACACGCCATTCATATGTAGTTAGATTTCGAATGGTCATTGCTATATGATGACCATTAGTTCGAATACAACGAGCTATTTCAACTATTGATGGAGAATTAGTTGGTAAAAGTCGTGAACGAGTATATGTTTGGATTATACGAAATGATGGTAATGAACGATGTTCAATTAGAGGTGATTCACCCATGGCATAACAAACAAATAGACTTGTTCTAGAATAAAAATTAAAAATAAAAATGATAATATTAGATGGCAAGTTTAAAGATAATTAAAAATAAAAACTTTCACTAATTTTTTTCACAGCAAAATAACATTCTCAATCAAATGTTTGGGATCTTAGATATTTTTTTTTAAATTTACTTATGTGTAGTAATTGACCATATTTGTGGATTTTCAGACGTAAAAATTTCTTTAACATCATTATTAATTACATCAAATGTATGGAGAGCAGCACCAGAAATAAGAAATACATTTAAATAATCACACCATACAATATCATTAATTGTTATAAATGATGGTTCAACATCTACACGTTTAATCATACCTTGTTCGGCATCAAAAATAACCAGTGTACTCGGTTTAATCCATGTAACAAATATTTGAGTAGAGTTACTCATTCGATACGAAGAAACACCTAAAGCCGATGTGTCTGTTGATAGCATATCAAATCGATAAAGTAAGTTGATGCGATCTAGATGAGGAATATTTTCAAATGAATTTGAAGATTGTAGAGATGAAGGTATCAATGAAACCATCGTTGGTGAAGGAAAATGACCACGAGAAATATTAATATTACCACCTAATGAACATGCATCAAAATTAATACGAAGAAGATCACGATATGTTAATAGATTTGTGATTTGACTTTGAGCATCAATTAATCGAGTATGAACTTGACGTACTTCATCTGGATGAATTTGTTTTGGTACTGAAATTCAAAAAAAAATTTATTATTTTCACTCTCTGATATTAATTATTGAACAAAAAAATATAAAATATCAGTTATTGAATGAAAAAAAAAAAATTTTTAGAATAGTAATTACCATTCAGTAATTTATCAATAGGTTCAATAACAGAATTATGTAACATTTGTACGTATTCGTCTTTAGCTATAATCCATTGATCATTTAGCCGATTTTGTGCTTGTTCAATATGCATTTTAACTTGTTCACTATATTGATCGATAACATTGTGCATTTTTTGTTTCCATTCATTTAATGAATTGAATACTTCTTCTATAATTATTTGTATAGGTTTATATTCATTTAATGTTTTTTCTAAACTTTTCGCTTGATTATGTAAAAAAAATGTTTCATTTTGAATTTGTTTTTGATGTTGTTCTCCATGTTCGAAACAAAGATGAAATGAACAATGAGGACACACTAAATATTGACGTGCATTACAAGGAAGAACTTGAGATGGATTTTGACAATAATCTACAACATCATCGACAACTGAAAAAAGTTCATTTGATGATCCCATTTAAAATGATAAGATAATAATAAGGTTCATATCGAATTAAATGTTCAAATTTTTCTATTCTTCGTCTTTTAAAGTATAGATATATGTTATCGAGGGAAATGAAACGTGTTCGAAAGAGAAAGAACAAACATATTTGAGATATCTCTAAAAAAAATACACGAACGACGAAGTAAATATGGGTTATAATAGGGTTAATCACTATAGATTTCTTCATTCTGTTCATAACGAAGAAAAATAAGTCACATTGAACGAACGAAAAAGACAAAATATAATTGTATACACAAGCTAGATACAGTTACTATTGTCGGAATTTTTTAACTGCCAACCACCATTTTTTGAATAACTTCCGATCGTTTATTGCTATCGAAGTCAGGTTTTCGCCATTAGATAGAGCAA